AAGGTAACATAATATAGCCATAAATCATTTAGTATAAGTATGTAAGTATTTAAAATTCTGGTCATCAATTCTTTTGGGGAATCTTAGTAGCTATGTTAATTGATTATCTAAACTTTTATTTTATTGGTGACAGTTCAATCCTTCAACTTGTAATAATCCCCTCCATTTTTTCTTTCCCCTACCCCCAATTTTTCTTTAAAAAAAAACAATTATTTTAAAACTTATTTGAAGAATGTCTCAACAACAACACGTCCTCGGTAATATTAAGTTGTATCATGTTCTGTCTTATCACCTCTCTTCAATACTTTTTCGACCTACCTTTATTCCTCGGTGTATCTCATACCCCCAATATCCAGTCTCTCGCACCTCCTTACCAGGACACCTGTACACCTCTTTTCAGGTGAAATTCACATTAAATACAAAACTAATACAACTTTTTTTTCCTCGGCTTAAATTTGACATTATCTATTTTTTGAGGTTTACCAATATTGTCCAAAACAGCAAAAGATTATATAAAGATTGTCAAGCAAAATTAGGTTTAATGGGTAGCTAGGGATAAGTATTAAGACAAGAAATGATCTGTCATTGACTTACAGCATGGAAATGCAATTATTGTATGAAAAAGACAAGCAACGACAGGCACTTGATGCCACCTGCAATACTTAAATGTATGTATATATATGTAATTGTTGCATCATTTATTTGGTTTGATTGTGATTTGTTACCAAATCTCCTTCATCAAATTAAAAATATCAACATTAATTGTATTAGTAACAATTCTACTTTTTCTTTGTCAACCAGAACCACTTGCTCAATCTTTGTTTTGTTTTTACTTTACTTTTTAAGTTTATAATGAAGAGTAAATCTTTCATTAGACATTAAGATTCTTTTTATCGCGAATTAGTAAAAAAATTGTGTTATAAAATATAAAAAAATTTCCCGAACCGATTCATTATTAGAAAAACGTATTACGAGAAACTGATTCTCACTAAAATACTACTAGTAAACTTCCTAATTTATCTATGTAAAAACATTACTATTTTTTCTTTTCTCATTAATTTAATCAAGATATCCATAAAATAACGAACGAATATTTTTCAGTGAAAATTTTCAATAAGAAAATGATTTTTTAGCAGTGTGAATTAACTACACTATATGTTGCAATAAGAGGATGATTATTTGGATGGATCAAGTGTTAATTGTTGTTTATAAAATGTATGGAATTACTTTTTTTATTAGATCATTTGATATGAGAAACAAACTAATCCAATCAATTCCAATCTTCCCATAAAGGGGATTTTCTATTTTCAAACTTAGAATATAAAATTTTTAATTAAAAAATAAAAAAAATTCATTCATCTCAGGAAAATATATGCAATACAAATTTTATAACACTAGTCTTCAAGGAGGCCATCGCCTAAAATACTTATTGAAAAATTTAAAAACCTTAATTAATGGTTGATTTGCACGAAATGAATTATCTCTCTTATCCATTTTAGATTAAATAAGTGAAGGAAAAAAATGAAATTTTACACCATACAGCAGTCCTATATAGCTCATAATAAACAAATAGCCTTAGTTTAAATTTTTTTCTTCTTGCAAAATTTAGCCAATATGTAGTGCATAATAAACGCACCACTGTATAATTATTAATATATGCATTTATTATGTACTTATTATTATACATTCATATTAAATATATACACACTAATGAAGACTACAAAGTACAAACCATTACGACTAGGCGTGTGAGAATTTCTTCAGATATTCTTCCCTGTTTCATGGATAGTATTTTTTTCTTCTTCTTTTCTTCCTTACGATTCTTTGAATTCTATCTAAATTCAAACTCAACGACGTTGCACTTTCTCTCCCTTAATCCAATAAAGTGTCTTCGTCATTGGCTCGTGATGATTTACAAAACTTTATTGGTAGCCATGAGAAAAGACTTTGAAGCTTAAATTCAAATTGTGGGGTTATGACACTGTTACTATATTTAAATAGGTGGTGCTTTAAAAGTTTTGATGTATCACAAAGTTCGTATCAAATATTGAGGAATTTTGGTACAAATTTAAGGCATATTTGGTGAATTATTCAAGGAATCAAATTTACATGCATATACATTGTATCCATGATCAATGCACATGTATATGCATTGTATTAATGTATTTGAGTGTATATATTCATTGTTATATATTTGTATCAATGTATTTGAGTGTTCTATAGCGTATTCATCACCACAATATATTTGGAAAAGCAACTGAAGGGTATATGTCCTTGTTTTTCATGATGTGTAAATGTATTTGAATTTGTATCAATTTATTCAAGTGTATATGTTCCTTGTTATACTTTTGTATCAAATGCATTTGTATCAAGTATTAAGTGTATATGTTCCTTATTATTCATTTTGTATCTGTCTTTGTATCTGCAACTTGTTGTAAATTTGTACCTGTATATTCAATTATGTTAGTTCTTTGTTATACATTGGTATCATGTATTTGAGTGTATCTGTTCACTATTATACACGTGATTTAATGTATTTGAGTGTTTCTAAAGTATATTCTCCACCAGAATGTATTAGTTGCCAAGGAAGTCTAATTTCAACCTAATGTTAGCTATTTTAGAAATTTCCTTTTTGAATGATCATAAAGATTCATCCAACTATTAATCCAATTCAATCCAACCCAACCCATATAACGACCTTGCATTCCATTCTTGTCCTCAAATCACTTCATCAACAATGCCCTCGTTAGTCGTTATTATTTGTAATACACTATCACGCTCCTTACCTTAAGCAGCTAAAAACACACGCAATATTTCTCAGTCTATAATATACTAATTAGTTGATTTTCCAAGTAACCCATATAACGACCTTGCATTACACTTGTCCTCAATCATTTCATCAAACAACGCCCTCGTTATAGTTTGTGCGAGGCGATGTATGTTTAATGCTACAATTCCAGAATTAATATGGAGAGATGTATATAGAATGGATTCAACTTATACGCATCGAACTATAGAGAAATTCCAATGGCTGCAGTATGTCCTTTTGTATAAACACAAAGTATATGTTTCCGTTTTTTAGTTCTTTTTGTGATGGGAAACGAGATCCAAATTATCAAAGAAAAAGGATTCAACAGTTGGTGAAATCTCAACCAACTGAATCAGAGTAAAAAAAACAAACTAAACGTTCTTCCACATGCCTACAGGAATTGTGGTTTCCAACTATCCCAACATTTTCCTACTGGAGTTAAACACGTCCATGATGGACCCACGTATTCCTCATCAGCATTAATACATTTGTCCTAATATATTCGCCTTACTGCAACATGAATAGTTCAAAAATCATGCATTGTTAGTCTACTATCTTTTCACACATCTACTACTCCACTTTTTCCTTTTTAGTTGTCCCTAATTACTTGTCAATTATGACAAATCAAAAAAAGACAAAATATTTTTACCTATTATACCCTCAATTAATTACTCTGAAAAAGGTAAAACTTTTTGAAAATATAAATTTTTTAATTCATTCACTTCATAATTAATAGTGATAAAATGATAAACTCACTATGTCAATAATTGTTTTCTTAATACCCTTCAGGGTGGCCCAGTGTTTGGGCTTGGGACTTCCATGTTGGAGGTCTCAAGTTCGAAACCCCTCACCAGCGAAAGTAAGGGGTTTGCCTTTTGGGTTGAGCTCGTCGCACCGGGCTTGCCTAGTGCAGGTTACCTCTCCTATGTGGTTTGCGAGCTATTGTATAGGAGCATTGGTTTACCCTATGCGCACCCAAAGGGTAACGGCTGCAGGTTTCCCTTGTCATAAAAAAAAATTATTATTTTCCTAATAGGTGTGTCAATTCAAAAGTAAACAAGTAATTAGAGACAGAAGGAGCAGATGTCTATTTTTACTTGTCCCGTTTGAAAAGCAAGAGAGTATTTATTAGTACTTAATTTCTAATTTATCTTTATTATTAACTATAATAATTTCCCAAAGCATTGAATTTATTATATTCATAGAGTGATATAGTAAAATTGTCATTCTATTTACGGAAAAGGGTCAAAATTGTCCCTGAACTATGGGAAATAGACCACTTATACCCTCCATTACATTTTGGGATCAAAAATACCCCCGCATTTATCCCAGGAGACCACAAATACCCTCAAGAGTTAACACCCCAATTTTTTAGTGACGTGGCAAGCCACATGGGACTAATCCCTCCACCTAAGCATTGCCAACTAAGATTCACTACAAAAGAACTTGACTTTTAGTGGCGACAAAGTCGCCACAAAATTCCAAAATATTGCCACTAAAGGTTATGAGTGATTTTTAGTGCCGACTAAGGCTCCAACAACCATTCGCTAGTAAAACCTATTTTTTCAACAAAAAAATATGATAATTAATTTTCGATTGCAACCTAATTTTCTAAAATAAATAACTTGCAATATCCATATTAAAAACATCCAATATTATTACGAAAAATAATCAAAATTACTTCTCGATTCAAATCTCCTACTATATATATATAATGCATCATTGTACATTTTATACATTTACATATGACATAAAAATAAAACATATAGTGTCTTCAAACTCCTACTTAATCGATATCATATTTGGTTTTTTAAAAACAATGAAAAAAAAACACAAAATTAGAATTTAATGTTAAAAACTTTTAGTGACGATTTTCTGGGCTTTTGTGGCGACTGTTGTTGCCGCTAAAGATCTAGTTCTTTTGTAGTGAATCCTAGTTGGCAACGCTTAGGTGGAAAGATTAGTCCCACGTGGCTTGCCACGTCAACAAAAATTTGGGGTGTTAACTCTTGAGGGTATTTGTGGTCTCTTAGGATAACAGCAGGGGCATTTTTTATCCCAAAATGTAATGAAGGGTATAAATGGTCTATTTCATATAGTTCGGGGGCAATTTTGACCCTTTTCCGTTCTATTTATTGCTCCTTAAGGGTGTGCTAAGTCAATACTGTACAAGTAAAGATGGACAGAGGGAGTACTAACCAACCAACCTTAAACCTTTTTAGTAAGTCAAGCATTTAAATTATTCCTAAGAATCAGTCCAAATAAAACTAGAATATGCCTTGGTAACCCAAGTACTTCCACTGTTCAGCCAAAATAATCTGTCTTGTTAGAGTGGAAAGTGCCGAGACTAATTACAACAGGGGTTCCACGTTAGCTCCTTGAGAACCAGTTCCAGCAAAAGGGAAAAACTCAACTGCCTAAAGTTCTACACTAAAGTGGGACTCTTGAGGCCTGGTGGCTTTCAAAAAGATTCTGAAATCAGAAAACATTGCATGACAAGTGGACTATTCCTGACTACTATTCTCTTCATTTACCTGCGGAATGATGACAGACTAAATACAAAGTGCTTCTGAACACAGATCCACAAGGAACAACCAACACCTCGTCATTCAACTAGGCAGAGGCTAGGACAGGATGTTACCTTCCAGACTTTCTGGCGCATGAAAATAAATTAGAAAGCAAGAGTGTTCCTCATCATCCCAGTTTTCACTCTTTACCATCTGCACAGCAAAAAGAAAAGTAATAAACTTTAACCATTTTAAGAATCTCATCTAGTGAAAGATACCACTTTCCAGAGCTAGCAACAGATTTATTTTTTCCTTATATATCGGATTATGAGGTTGGATGGAGCTCAAAGTTCGTACAATTATAAGAAAGTTCGAAACAAGAGGAATGTGCAAGAATAAAGAGGGAAAACAAGCAAAAACTACAAATATAGTAATTAAAATACGAATACTTGTGATGCATGACCTCAGGCAAAGAACGAAAATTGACAAGAATGACAGGGTTCCTTCATAAACAAGGATAAAATATACTCATGAGATAGGTCTATATATAACTATCTGTTCAGTTACGTTATTTGAGTGATAGGTCTATATCTTCATTTATAACCAATCACCAATTAACAATCACTTGGCATCTTGCAAGGTCCCCAAAGCTTCCATGCGAGGTTGGTTCGCTCAAAAGGAAATACATTCATTCAGAAAAAACTCATGTCAAGATGGACGTATAAACTTAGAAAGAGCAGATTAAGAGGTTGACACAGAGTTTGTGTAATCAATCAGATTACACAATAAAAACAACAACTAGCTCAGGGTTTAGAACAAACATTAACTTATTGCCCAACCTTGGAAAGTTTGCAGTTCTGATAGATCCCTAAAGCTCGAATGAAATAATTGGAGAGGCAAAATCTCAAATGAACTAATTTAGGGAGGCAAAAACAAGAATGTTCCTTGAAAGTTGAAATTAGAAAATCACTAAATATGGTTTGGTGAAAACAAAAACTCACTTTTGTCGTCGAGAAAACCAGAAGCATTGGCATCCATTTGGAGAATGTTATCCATTGAACCACTTGGAGCAGGTGCAACAGATAATCTAATAGCAGGCGGGGAACAAGTGTTGCTCCTACTTGAGAGCTCACTTGGGGTATGATTTCCGGTTCGATGGTTCAAATAGAAGTCCAAGCTAGCAGATGAAGGCATTCCCATCTTTCTCTTGAACCTTTTCATCTAACAGAGACGTGAGATACTGAAAAAGACACAAAAAGAAGTACAACTGTTCTCGTTTCTTATTTCCATTTTGAAATTGAGCAGTTCACTTATTGCAGTACCTGTCTTTCCGCTTCTCACGATATCTTTCCAGTAATGCTTTTCTGCTTACGTGGTTCACTGCTTCTGCATAATTGATTTTGGAGGAATGGGGGGAAAGAGAGATAAGAAAGAAATTTATGGAGAAGTAGAAATTAGAATAAGATGCTCGTGATTGCTTTGCCTTCAACTAGTTCTGTTAATCATCATATAAGCATTACCTACTTCAAGACTTGCATTAATTAAAGGCCATTGATCTATTATAATGCATGACAAAGAAATTAAAGAGTAGCAGATTGACCTTCCTAGCTTAAATTCTTTGCTTAAGTAAACTATCACAATATTGCCATAGAAAATGGTCCGGTTAAGTTGTGGGCTCCATGATTGTGTTAATAGTAACTAGAGTTTTTTTACTATAACAGGTGGTTAGCAGGAGAAATCTATGTTACTCAGACTTTTCAATAATGTCGAAGGGTGCATGTCGAGCTCCAAAAGTAGTGCATTTTTGGAGAATTAGACACGAGTGTGGCATCATTTTTGGAGTGTTTGAGCAACATAGGGAGAAAGGACTATTAAACCTACCCGTCTGCAGACCCTGGAATGCCACTCAATTTAAATGGCAAAACCTGGTTTATGGAAGAACCTTCAACAGATCAGTGGTATAATATTCTAAGCAACACCTATACTTGTTACCTTTTCCTCTCATCTTTTATTTTTTCATAATGATGGTGTTGGGGCCAGCTAAGTCACACCTTTGGTGCTCCTCTGGTTTTCAAGCATTATCATTTCAATAGTTGGGTACTTGGATTGGTTGTGGAATTTTAAAATCTTTCATATAACTATAAAGTGTGGTCAGGATGGGAAGTCTAGACTCTTGAATAACAATGGCTAGTAAATTTTTTAATAAGTTAAGGAATTATCTTACAATGGCAAGAATTGTCTTATCTTGTCCTCCGTTTTTCAGGTCCCATACTGTAATAGATAAGTTTTAATGATAGCTAGAGGACAGCAAGGCCAGATAATATGGAGAAAGAAAGTCATAGCCTCATACCACCCTGGGTAAATAATAACACCAAGTACATTGCTCAATTAAACTAAACAGAGGAGCCTAATATTACCTAAGTTTCAGCAAGGTACAATGAGAACTCCATTTTTCAGGGTTTCTTGGTGTGTGTGTGTGTGTGTGTGTGTGGGGGGGGGGGATTGAAAAGAACAAAAGAACTTGCCAGAATTGTCCTCATAGAAAGTGTTGCTTTCCTCCAAATGAAGGCGAGTCACTTCAGTTATTCTCCCTGTAAAATATCCAAATTATTATGTTCTGTAACACAAGGATACACCTCATCGAGATTCATAAGAAGTTATTTTTCATAGGAATTCATAACCTAGATGGAATTAAACTCACATGTGTCATTTGGCAAGAGGAGGGAGAGGGTGGGGATAGTCAAAACTATCAGCATTTTGATCAAGAACATTATAGGTTAGGTCTGTTTCTCAATTCAACTCACGCACATGCCATCAAAATCCCCAAATCATGGACTAATGTATTAACATTCTACAATTTCCATGGTAAGAACAAACCTGTTTGCATGGTTGGCATGAGCACCATAGGAGAATCTGGACCCATTTTAACATTTGCAGGTTGCAAATGGCATTCAGAATGTTGAGCTGCTCTGGTAGCATCCAATGGAGTTTCTGAAGGCACAAAGAGTGGGCTTGCAGCAAGATGCATGATTGCTTGTGCCTAACAAATATGACAGTGGCCACAACAGGAACAAACTAGTCAATTGTCAATATTTAAATTGTTGTAGTTCCGTCATACATCAAACTTAAGTTACCTTTTCAGCAGGTACATCATCATACACATTCACCTTGCCACAATAGAAGATTATCAATTGACCTGCTGATGCATTTCCCGAATCTGTGGTTCTGGACTCACCAAGAAAAAACTATTAGCATTTGAACTAACTATAATGGAATTTCTAAAATCTGTTTGTAAAGGTGCACGCACTTGCAGAATCACAACTTGCCTTGGGATGCCATCTTCAATAGAATAGTTTTTAGCATAATATAGAATCACAAGAGTAGAGAAAAAATAACTTCAGAAATCATAAGAAGGGAAAGTAAGCAAAACTAGTTTTATTATTTGAAGGAAACAGAGGAAGAACTTTTCCAACACGCTAAAGGATATATATATATATATATATGGGATAGATTTGTAAATGAAAGTATATACTACATAGGAACGAGATGAATAGAAGACTTAAATTGAAAACTATGAATGTACATAGTATGAGAAATATGATATTCTGACCTGCATGATTATCTTCTAATTTCTCACATGATAGCTAGTGAAACCATTAAAGTCATATTTTTAAGCTAATTCAAGAAGCCTAAGGGTTTTGGGTAAGGTAGTTGATAAAGCATAAATGATGATGATAAACCCTTTTTTTCTTAAAATCCTTGTAACACTCAGTCCATGCTCTTCAACATTTTCCAATTGTATATAGTGTGCTCAATAAAACAAGCCTTATAGGAGCAACAATGCAGTGCCCCTCCAGGATCTAGCAAGTGGTAGTAGAATTTGGGATACGACCAACAAAATACCAACAACTTTGTACACAAAATATTGTACCCAAAATAAAATGCACATCATTGGCAAGTAAAACCCCCTTAATGCCATTCAAAGTACAATCAAAGACCGAAGCTCTCAAATGAGACTAAATTTATAAGGTATTCGCATTTACTTGCTTGTCAAATCATCAAGCACAATTCTTGCACATCTTTTACAAAACCAAAAGGGACAGACAAATAAGCGAAAAATTTCATATTAACCACTTAATTAGTATTGTAATCTTTCAATGTAATATGGTAGGGACGAGCCAGCCGCTACTTAATGGAGTAGCAGAGTGGAACTATTATTCAATAGGAACAAAGCTTCTCAAAGACAAGCACCTTATTTAGTGGTAAGGAAAAGTAAAGAGCCATCCATTCAGCATATAAAAAGGTGTAATAAACAGCACAAACCATTTGAGGAAACGAAAATTCACCTAGAAGGAGTTAAGTTATTGACAACGGCAACAGAACCTGCAGCCTTATTGCCGGAAAGATCAGGTTTATTGGGAGGTTTTCTACCGTACGGCACCATTTCTTCAGCCGATTCAGCAAATTCTGCATCGATGCCCGTTTCTTTCTGGACCTACATTAGTTTAATTATTCAATAATTAGGCGAGTTAGTATGAAGTTAAGCAGCAGATATAGCATCATATTCATCACAGAACCATGAAGATAATCAAAAGAGGAAATGCAAGTAGATAAATCAAAACGCACTCGCTGTAAACTGGTGTCTGGGCGAGGAATGTGACGCCTTTTCCGCTGACCGGTGTCGGAGTCCGGCGTCGTATCTAACAACGCCTTCAGTGAAATCACCTGCTGAATCGCCTGTGATTTATTCCATGACGGCTTTCTCATTCCTACACGGAAACATATTCAGAAGACACAAAGCATAATCATCCTTCAAATTACTTTATTCGATTCTCGATTATCGCAACTCCAGATTATTTTAATGTACTGGCACACATATAGAGAGAAATAGAGAAAAGCGAAAAATGAACCTTTAGCTTTAAGATAACGTCGGCAATCTTCGCGAGTGAGCTGAGAAATGTCGTCATCGGTAAGTAGGTAGAGCGGTTTATCCAGAGGAGACTTGTAAACAGTTTCTTCCAGCGACATGATGTGAAATTCCGGTGGAAATCGGTACAATTTGGTTCGTCGGAGAACTAGAAACAGGAGAAACGTGTTTGACAGTGAGTTAGTGAGTGGTGCCGGGAGCAGAGGATTGGGGAAAAAAATGGCCGCGGCGTCGCCGCTTTAGTGTGTTGCTTTTTACTTTTTTGGCCGTAACCCATTTTGGGGAGGCAAGGCTGCAACCCCAGGTTGCCACGTAATCAGCGATGTCATTATTGAAAAAGTTAGCCCCCCATCTCGGCCGAGGGCCCCCCCTCTTTATCACCTCTATAGCTCTACTTCACGGCCTAATTTTTTTCCCCATCACATATTTGCTACTCAAAAACCTACTAATGTCAAACTCATTTTAATGTGTGTTGACTAGGTTCAAAAAAATAAAAGTATCTTGCTCATATATCTCTCATAAGTAATATTAGCTATATTTGGAAAAAAAATGTCCTAGAAATGTATTTATATGGTATTGAAAAGCTTGATTAAAATTTATGATTGAGCTTGATATCAAGTCAACGATAGTTTATGAAAAACTTTCACCAAGTTGAAAGTGCAACGTATCTCAAGTGTACATCTTTAAGCTATTCACTCAATCAATCCTTGTTTGAGAAGATGGAGTCCTTGAAAGACATCAAAGACTCATATGTGGGGTACTCAAGTTATGGAAGAGTAAAAAAGACCCATGTGTGGAGATGCTCAAGCAATGGATGATAGCTTGGAAGGAAGACGGGGAAGAGAAGGCAACCATATGCGATCACGTATGCACTCCAAGGAACACTTGTGAACCCTATATGCGACTGCATACCCCATTTGTGACCATAGTGTCGCATTGTGATTTAGGAAGATCGTTTATTGGGTCACTATAGTTATTTTTGCTAAGTTCATGTTGGGGTTATGCTTGTAAAGGCAAAACTATAAATACTAACCTAAGTTATTTTCATTTGATAGCTTTTGAATGATTAAAAAACTCTTTTTGAGTGTAGCTCCTCCTTTGTGGAATTAGATTAATGTTAGGTACTAGTTGGAGGATTCCTTATCTCATTACTTTGAACACCTCTTGGATAATTTAGGATTATATTTTTAGGTATGAATTAAAAAATTTCTTCCCCCTTGAATTGATTCATCTTTGATTGTAGATTGATAGATATACGTACACATCTTATATATTGATCAATCGCAATATTTTTTTTATCTCATCTAGATCACGATGTGACATTATATGCGAAGGACTTGTGGCTGCAAGTGGATTATGCGGCTGCATAAAGGGGTTGCAAACTTGCAATTGAGCTTTTCTCAATAGAGTTTCTTGTTGGAGTTATAATCCATATGAGAGTTGTGGTTGCATTATCTTCCACATCTTCCTTCCAAGTTATCTTTCATAGCTTGATCATCACCACATGTGGATCTTCACTCTCTTCTATATATCCTAAATATTCTTCCATAACTTAAGTACCCCCCACATGTAGGTCAATGGCTTTTTAGGACTTTATTTTCTCAATCAAGGATTGGATAACTTGAAGATGTGCACTTGAGATACCTTAAATCACCTCTAATTTGATGAAAGTGTTCCACGGACCATTATTAACTTAATTAATGTAAGCTCCATCATGGATCCTAATCACCAATGAGCTTTCGAGTGTAGTACTTGAAAATCATGAATAGTATTGATGGTGGGGGGAAATATATTAATGATTTATGTATCATATTTATTATTGGTTAGTGTTAAAAAAAATATCTAATATCATGTCACATATATTATATTAACACTCTCCTTGTTTGAAGGTTGCATGGGGCAAAATTGGGCCTGACAAAAACGAATATGAAAAAACGTTTGTGAAGACCCTAGGAGAATGAAAGAGACCATCATCAATGTATCAAGAAGAGATTCGAGTGCCTACCTGTATGGAACCGACACGTGGTTGGACATCAAAAAGAAGCTTCAATAAAGGAAAATTGTCTTATAGCTATAATTGATCATAATGACTCACCCTTAATAGCTCAATTATCAACTTTCAAGTAGCATGCTCACACTTTTTATTACCAAGTGCGTCGTCATTTTACGTTGAGGGGATAGTTTAATTTTCATGGCCTATATAAAAAGATCCTATAGAGAATATAAGGTATCAGAAAATTTCAAGAAACATTATTTTACTCTCTTTCTTCTTCCTTTAACATTTTTTATGGAAACAAGTCTTGTAACCTCCCCCTTAATTCCCACTTGTATTATTTCCTTTTTGCTTAAAAGATCATATTCTTGTATAGGATCATCATATTAACACTTTAGCTTAAAGTGAATAAATTTGATTTGACCTGACCTGATTCACTTGCCTTTAAATCTCTTTTCACCAACTTTATAGTTTTTCGGTAAATAAAGGCTATAGAAATATAGTATATGGATGCACATATATGCTAAACTTAAATTTGCATTAGCTATATATTCAGATAGTGTTAAATGTGCAAATCTAAATATAGTTATATCATATTTTGAGTATAAATTATATTAGTAGTAGTTTATATCATATTCATTATATTTAGATAGTGTTAAATATACAAATCTAATATATAGTATACTATGTTCTGTATATATTATATTAACAGAAAATATAAGGATGACGTGGAGGATTTTCAAAAAAATAAGAAAAACTTCTTGTTTGATAATGTGCTTCCTTAGTAGTAATAGATACCATAAAACTTCACTAAATTAATATTTGGTAAATTAATAATCTCTTTAATTAAGATAATATTTTTCTCCGATTTCAACTTGAGACAATGAAAAAAATTACTCATTTCGATAAGATAATAAAATAATATATTTTTTAGAAGACCCACTTTATAAATATATAGTCCCATTAGTATTATAAAATAATAATTCTTTAAAAGTACAAATATATCTAAGACAACGTAGCGAAATATGACTTTATTGTGTTTTGTTTTTTATGGAAATTTAAATCTAGTAGAAGCTCACCTCTAACTTTTCTTATTGCATCCAAGAGTTTCGGTGTTGTCTTTTCAAAATGAGTCATAAAATTATGAGTTCTAGATGCGATAAATGTTCCTTACACGTAAGTGGTTCCACAGGTAAAAAAAAAATTACAATGAATCATACACATATATTGTACTTTATGTATGATAACTTTTTTTTTTTGTGAATTCAACAAATATGATACATAATTTAGTAACATACAAATTTTGATGTATTCATTGTACTTTATGTATAATAAATTTATTTATTTTATATGAATTCAATAAATATTATGCATAAATTAGTAAGATATCATGAATTTGATGTAATCAAAATAGACCTTTATTGAATCTCAAGACTCTTTAAATCAATAAATATTAATTTATCGATTATATAATACCTCTACAAAATAATAATATTTTATGGTTCCACCTATATTAATTTAGTGAGGTTTTATTGTAGTAATATTATTACCGGAATGGAAAATTTGTAAAGACTAATTAAATTTACTAAAAATTCCTCGTATACCGTTGTATGACCTATTATATTTATAGTCTATTTAGCATTGTTGTTGGGTGTTCAAAAACACTAATTTTGATGAAAAACACTTTTTTTCAAAAATTAGGTGTTTGGCAAATTAGTAGAACTACTTTTAAATGGAAGCAGAAGCCGTTTTTCTATTGTTGGAAAGAAACTAGAAATTTTTGCTTCTTAAAAAAAGCAGAAACAAAAATTTATTTTTTCAAGACGAAAATATCCATTCCATATAGTGGCGGATCCAGGATTTCCATTAAGGGGGTTCCAAAAAAAAAAAGAGTAGTTCTTAAGATTTGGGGTTTGAACCACTAAGCCAACCTCTAATATTATATTCAGGAGGTTCAAAATCAATATATAAACATAAAAATTCTTAAAATATCTTAAATATACAACGTAATTTTTTATCGAGGGGGTTCGGGTGAACCCCTTGGCAGACTCTAGGTCTGCCCCTGCTTCCATATATACATATTTACCAATATATCTCTTATTATTTTATTAAGTTTGTTTAAGTTTCATTTAAGAATTTTATATTTTATTTTACGTTTATGTATTATTATTTTATTTATTATATTCCACATTGTTTTGCAAATTTAGGAAAAAGATAACAACAATATTTTTGCAAGATTAAAAAATGATTTTTTTTAAAAAAAGATTTTAGCCCTAAAAAAGTATAATATTTATTGAAAATCTGAATATGTACATTTTAATTTAATAAAGATCAAACCAATAATTATCAATATTTTAAAATGTAAAATCAAATTGATGTTAATTTAATTAATTTTTAATTTGAATCGATTTTTATCAAAACGTAAAAAATAAAAAGTTCAAATAAAGTGCAGACTGAAAAAGTCTTGGTCCGGGTCATGGAAATGATCTTTCACAATCGGGCTTCGGCCCACAATGAAAGGATGTGGGACCAAATCAATATATGGCTCCCTAATCTGCCACGTCTCCCTATTTTATTATTTAATTCATTTTACACAAAATAATTATTAATCTTTAAATTATTATTATTTTCTCATTAGATATGTAAATCTTTTTAAGTTATATTAAATTGGATAGGCTTATTCTAGTTTATTTGCAAGTTGGGTTGCTATACTTTAAGGCCCACATATTTATTTTGATAGAAAAGAAAAGGGAAAATTAGCAATTAAGTTATAATACTTAACATAATTAGTCAAAATAATAACACTTTAAAATATTTATTTAAAATGGTAGAACGATAATATTTTTATAAAATAATATGTATTCATATTTTAATATTTTAAATTAATTTTATTTATGGAAAGAGTCCTATATTGGACCAAATTATTTACCAATAATCGTTTAAAGTGAAAAAAAATAAAAAATAAAGTCAATACCATTAATCTTTTTTCATCACCATTCACGTTTCTTCCCCAACTTTCACGTTTCAAGTTTATATTTCTTCAAGGTGCTAAATTGTTGTTCATCAAGAAATTTTCTTTATTGTTAAACGAAATCTCTTTATTAATTCAAGCAGATTTCTCGGTTGGCAAGGAAATTTTCATTATCCATTTTGATTTTTTTGATTTGATGTTTAAACCACCGATTCTATACATTACGGATTTCCAGTCGAATTTTCCAATTTTTATGTGATTTGTTTAAATATTCATCATATATTTATGATTGTCAATTTTTTTTTGTGATTTTCTTTTAAATTTTCAGATTTTGTAGATTCTAGAAATTCATATATCTGTTTATTTCGTTTGATATTTAATTTTAATATTTGATAATATTGAAATTTATTTTTAGGGTTTTAAATTTTGGGGAAAACATCTGATTGTCTACAATGACTGATTCAATCAGAATTACTAGAGGTATCCCAAATAATATTCAAAATTTTGGGGAATTTTCCTCATTTGATTTGTGTATTACCCAAAGGTTGCTCGAAAATGTAGGATCTGCGGCTAGAATGACACAAGAGAGCTCTTTCAAAAAAAGGAGAGTTTTGTGTTCTGAAACCCCCGATGATTAAGTTAAAGATCGAAGTGATGAAGTATTACTTTATGGCGATGACGAGGTATTAAATTATTTTGAAATTATTTTTGTATGTTATGTCCATTCTTGATTTTGTGATTGCATGTTTATTGTTGATTTTATAGGATGAATGTACTTTAAACAATATTTGTATTTTTACTGTTTTTGTTTCAAACTCACTATTGTATTCATAATGTGTATAGCTAACAATATATTTTTCCCTATATATTGTTGTTCTATTATTCAGATATGATTTGTGTAAATTTTGCAAATACGAAATTTGTAAATTATATAAATTATTTGTGATGACAAATTTTGTATTTTATTAGCCAATGTATTTGTCCCTAACTAGTTGTATACTTATATTAGATAGTTGTATAATATATTGTATTTTTTCAGCACCTTTATGTATTCCAATTTATTAGATTTATAGTATGAGTTCAGTATGTATTCTATTTTTGGTTTCATATTAATTTTTTATCTCATTAATATTCATAAATCAGAATGAACATTCAAGTTTTCAGAATGTTTTTCACTTTGTCGTATAGGTAGTTTATCTTATTATATTTTGTTATCTAGAAATAGAATTATATATTAGTATTATACAAGTATGTATTCATTTATTTGAACATGTGTAGACAAGTGAATTTTATGTCAAAAATCATCCTACAAAAGCTTCAGATATCCAATGTGTCTTTAACAATGACATAAAAACTGACTTGATTAGAAATTTACATGAGAATGTATATAATGTATTTTGCAAGAGCACTTGTTTTGGTAATTACATGCAAATGCATAGATGTTGTGCTGCGGACAAATACATAGGTGTTGCAGGGCTTTATAACTCAATTGCAGTTCTCATCGAGCATTTGTCATGCTTGTTAATGGATCTGTGCTTCGTTTCACTTTAAGAGAATTCACTTTGATTAGTGGATTAAACTGTGTCAACGAGGAAAAAGATTTCAATTTTGATACAAAAGAACCAAATAGGTTGATGAAACAGTATTTTGAGGGTGTTAAGTTGATTTGAAAAGTAGATATAATGGAGAGTTTTGAGGAAAAAGTGTGGGGTGATAACGATCAGGATGACTTGAAGTTTGCCATCTTATTCTTCATCCAAACAGTTATTTTTTTCTGGTGAAAGATTAACCAAAAAAGTTCCTAGATTACATTTTGATCTGGTTGAAAGCGGTATGTACAATCAGTTTCCATGGGGTAAAAAAGTGTTCTACTTGTTGATGAAGAGTTTGAGCAAGAAGTTAGATAGTGAAAAACAGTTTTACAAAATTGGTGGCATGTCAGTTGTCATTCAAGAATGGTTATATGAGTGCATTTCAAGGATCGACTTCCAGGTTGCTCAAAAGGTTGATGACCACATTTCGAGGTTACTCAACTGGCAGACGGCCAAAGTGAGTACGAGATACAAGAAACTAATGAAGAACATATTCAGTGATGTGAATAACAAGGTACTTAATTGATATATGTATAATAAAAGTCAATTTGTATAGTGTTATTATTGTTTTTAGTATAAATAGTAACACAATCTGTTTGGTTCAGTTTAAATTCAGGAACATTACTCCTAATCAAAGAGAACTTGCAATATTGCAATTGCCATCGGAGGGTATCGAGAATCAAGGTGAAGTTCAGTATGACTAACTAGATGAGACAATAAGTCATAGTAAAGATTCTGAGAACCTCCTCCACAAACAATAAAGATCAAAAGAAAAGGAAATGTTGGTTCTTCACCGTCGCCGGTTAAAAAAAGGACAAAGAAGCAGTTGACTGATTGATCCAAACAGGCAGCACAAAAGCTGGAACCTCGTGTTATTGTTAAATTGACGGTGAAAAAGGATATTGTATTTAAAAAGGTACCGAAGAAACCTAAGGTTGTTTTAAAGCAGACTGAATCTGTATCTACAAATCAAACTAATACAACATCGAAGGATTCTGACATTCCAAGAGCAAGTGGATCTGAAGAGCAAGTCTGGATGAAAGAGCTGTCTGATTTCAGAAAAGAGGTATCTACCATTTATACATCTTTCTTAGTTTAACACTTCTTAGCATATTGAATTTTTATTAAGCTACAATATTATGTCCTATTTTCAGGTTAAAAAAGAGTTTGTTGACATTCGCAAATTGATCAATAATAACTTCAAGACTGTTCTGACAGCCATTAATTCTAAACATACTGAGCAGGAGGTTCGTTATAAACAAACAATATGATGTAATGTATTTCAACTAATCATTTTTTAATGTATTATGTTGTAATATTACACAGGTTAGACATTCTGGTGATCCCATTGTCCCCCCAAATTTAAACGATGAATCCATCTACTTCAATTCCTGAATCTCCATCAAATCAAGTGCAGGTAGTTCAACTTGACAAATTGGAATCTGGGAATTTGGAGGTAATTGTAGTTTTTTAGTTAATTGCATCTTTTATTAATTTGGTTCAATATGAATCTATATATTTATCATTTTTTATCAAATTGTATACATGACTATTAATACGGTGTATTTTACACAATTTGAATTTATTAACCTTAAAAAATTTGTATCCATTAACATTTGGTTACATGTTTCTTCGTCTTTCTATTTTCCTGTTAAGACTATCAACATTCCAGATGGCAGTGATACCAAACTATTAAGCCCGAGGTAAGTCAAATTTTATATTGTATTTTCTACTCAATACATATATATTCATTATCCTTTATACCTATTAAGTTTATATTTGTATATATGTACATACTTTCAATGTAGCCGTTTCGATCAAACTGTATCCAGCAATCTTAACACGATTTTATGCTTACAATTCCACTCTAATAAGATATAAAATTGTAGCATCATTAACTAAACAATATGCGGTCCATTCCTACATGAACGCCTATTGTGCTCCTTAAACCCACAAGTACCACGAGAATTCTTGCTCTTTTTTCCAGATAACTCGCTATACGCCTTGTCACGATACTTCTTAGATGGCCTTCTAGGTAGCTTTTTGTGCTTTGGAGGCCGCACTCTGTCATCCTTAATATACTCAGGTACATTCCACTCGTTTTGATTAGGTAAGGGAGTAATTGGAATGTTGTATGTATCCAACAAGTTACTTGGCTTGTACATGTCAGAACAATATGGTCCAACATCAAAATGTTTCTTATTTATAACAGTCCAAGCATGCAAACATGGTATTTCATCCATTTGAAACCTCTTGCAAATACAAATTTTATTTTTCAAACAGACAATATATGTTCTACCTTCGTGATGAGCACTGTACACATAGTGATTTGATGGTACAATCTGCAACAAAAAATATAAATCAGCTATGTTTATATAATGTTGATAAACATATAAAATATAAAAACATACCTTCATACGTAATGATGCTTTTCATTAGAAACAAGCATCTCTTGAGGTTTACCACAAAATGTGGTGAAAGTATGTGAAGAAGACGTATGGTTTTTGAAATTCCATCTTGCAAACATCTGTCTAACTTCCTCAAGAAAATCGTATACTGATAACTACCTTGCTTCCACCAGACAAGCATTTATGCACTCAACTATGTTTGATGTCATAACAAATTCTTGATCAACTGTTGCATATACCCTAGCCCATTTTTCATAACCTGCCGATTCCAAGTAATTCTTTACACGAACATCAACTTGTTCAACCTTTTCCATCAGTTCATTGAATTCAGATTGTTTGTATGCCTTTGTCATTGCATAAAACACTTCCGAAAGACTATTGTGACTTTTTAAATAGTATTTTCATATTTTTCCACAGATGCCAAGTGTAGGCATAATGAGGGACTCCATCAAATACCCTCGAAACTACCTTTATAATACTCTCATTTCAATCAGATACAACACACATGTTGTCTTTAACTCCATGAGCGACTTTAAACTGTTCAAAAAACCAAGTCCAGGATGCATCATTTTCCGAATCAATAATTCCATATGCTAGCGGCAATATATTTCATGTATATAGAACATTAATAAATTTATTACTTCATAAAGAAAAATAATTTTAAGAATCGAATCAAATTGTATCTATTATAAATTGAATACCTACTCCATCTACAGTACTCACAGAAACATATGTACCATTATACGTCCCCCTGAGATGGCTGCCATCAACTACGACAATTGGTATACAATTTTCAAAACTTTTTATGAACGGGAATAGAGAAATAAAAAGATACAGAAATTGATTTTCATCGATTTCTTCATCCTTATATGTGATCCAGGGTAGGTAGTGTCCAATATGTATAAGTAGCTCGGCAATTTACTATAAGATCCAGATGGTGTCCTCCTTAAGGAAATTACAGCCTTTTTCTTAGCCTTCCATGCCACTGCATAAGATACATCTACTCCAAGAGCAAGACTAACATTTTGTTGTATATCTTTTGGCGTTAACTTCCTTTTATGATCAACTAATTTGGGTTGGATCATACCTCCAACAAGATTGCTTGTTGCATGTCGTTGATCATACACCTTATCTTTCAATGGACATGTGTGCTCATCTACGAATTTTCTAATTCTAAACATTCCAGATTTATTGATACTTGATGACTTCAACATCCATCCACATTTCTCAGACACACAAACAAGTGTATAACTGTTTGAATATTATACTATCAAAATTAGTATAATACATATTAAATGTTGATATTATGTAAAAAACAAATTGAGAATACAATAATAAAAGAAACCCACAAAATACACATACCATGTTTGACTTGATCTACCTTATGTTTGTTGTTTGTAATAATGTCGCAATTCATATAATCGCTATTGTTCAGCACACTAAGCACTAATGTTTGTGTATCAACTATATCTCTCATTCCAACTCCATCTTCCAAAATATTTCTATCAGTCAATTCACAATCATTCACAAATACATATACACATTGAGGATACTTTGCTAATTCCTTGTTATCTTTCTTCAAAGACACATACACCCTCACACCCATGTCGTTGTGTATTTCCAAAGGTGCATTACTACCCTCTATTTTATACTTAAGCTTCACACTGTTGAATCTCAAATCAACACAAACTTGTTTAGCAACTTCATCTCATAATTCTCTATATGTCGCATATTCTTTAATCACAATTGCTTCTTTAGTGTAATCAACGTAGCAATTATCTTCGTTCCACCTCCCAGAATGCATGACTAGCAAACTAATGCTTCCCATGACTACATTAACAAAACACAAAATTGTATCCAATAATCAATTGCATCCTAAAGTAGTAACTAATTACATAAATGTAATGTGCGCTCAAACATCAATAGCTTCAAAAAGAAAAAATATAGAACACACACTCAATACATAATGATCTGTATTTACATACAACTATTTCAACTTTAATTATATCCAGAATTTACTACAAGGCAATAAATATTGGTATACAATTCTTAATTCATTGTTGCATTTTAATCACTAGTTTAACTTACTGGTATACAAAATAGTGTCTGTATTTAAAAAAAAAGAACAAATTCCAAACTAAAAAAACATACAATTTCATCGAGGAACTGATGGGATACGAAAATCTCTAATTGTTACTATTTACATTAAACATAATGGAATACTAAATATTGTATGCATTCAAATAAAAAGAAAACAAATACAAAACTAAAAAGAATCAAAAACTTTTCAATCGTTCTGCATCATAAATTGGATACAAAACATCCAAAAAAAAACTAAAAATATCAAACCATACAAAGATTTCACCGATCCAAAATAATCAACAAAATCACAACGACCTGATATACGAATATATTATCCAAACAAATAAAATAATCAACCAAAACAAAAATACCTAATGTCGAAAATTTTCGAATTCAATGAAACTGACGAAATTATAGTCGTGGATTTGAAAACATCTGTTTCAAGAATATGCCGAATTCAACTCGAAGAAGCTATGAAGATTATCAATTGAATGATTCGGAAGAAAAAACTATTTTTTGCCAATTTTTTTTTGGAATTCTAAAGAACAGAGGGCAAAAAAACTCTCCAAAAAAAGGAGAAAAAATGACTACATCTGCTCTTTCAAAACGTAACTGATTTATATTTTAAATCGTTTTTTCCTTTTTTGAATTTTTTTGTTTCATGTTTTTTCTATTCTGTTATTAAGTATTTGTATTCTTTCAAAGTAATCCAAAATAAAATAAATACATAACTCATCTTTTAACAAACTGAAATATTGTCATTTTTAATAAATAATGAAACTATTGCTAAAGAGTCCCTCTAGAAAAGAAAGGTCCACTCATTGTGCTTTCCATTCTTTTTCTTGTGTCACCTAATATGTAGACAATTTGCTCTTTGGTTGCATCTACATTTGGGCCCAAACTAACCCACTCTGCAACTCCCTCAATTGAAAATAGAAAAAAGAAAGAGAAATTTTTGTATATAGCAAGAGTTTCGACTAAAAACATAATACATAAACGTGCTCTGTAACTATATATTAGCTGACAACTATACTCTTTAACACTGAGTGTGCACAAGTAAATACTTAAACAATTAGAAAATAGAAAAAAGATATAATACAAACTGACCCACTCCGCAACTCCCTCAATTGAAAATAGAAAAAAAAGATTTTTTTTTTATATAGCTAGAGTTTCGACTAAAAACATAATTCTGTAACGTGATTTTAGCTGACAACTATACTCTTTAACACTGAGTGTGCACAAGTAAATACTTAAACAAATTGAACAAATAGACACATGCGTCCTATATGACAATTCACATCCTATGTGACATCATATGTATATTATGTCACATAGAACGTGTGTATCTACTTATTCAATTTTATACAAATTTAAGTATATACTTGTGCACATCCAAAGCTGAAAGACATAGATACAAGGTGAAGCCAAGTTAAAGTGTTTTATGTCATTATGAAATATTGTGATAGTTTATACATTTATATAATATAACAATAGTTTATTTTTAAATATAGCGAAATACATTAGATTTGTGCGTAAGTGAAATACACATTGACAATACATTGTATTTTTATTATATGGCACTTGTATTTTATGAAATGCACTCGTATGATCATTATAAACTATCCCAATCTCTATTAAAAATCACTCATATTATTCTATTTTATGAACTACATTTATAATTCAGATTTGAAATAAAGAGATAGGTTTAAATGTAGTTCAGATTTGAAATAAAGAGATAGGTATATTAAACGTATTTTCTACTAGCTCAATCTCTCTCTATGTATCATAATTATTTTCAAATATCACTATTTCAGATAAATATAGAGGCTATATTTGTAATGTCCCATAATTTTTCTAAAAAAGAGATAAGAAATGAGGGCATGTGCCTCCACTTTCACATGAGCCATAATTTGCCTTCAGCTATACCCGATTATAATTTTTTTTTTAAAATAGATAGAATATTTATTGGGTCAATTTTTTTTACCCAAAATAATTAAATTATTATTCATTATGTAAAATGGTCATTCGATCCTATTTATTGCCGGCAAAGTGCATTTTTCAATTTTTATTTTAAGCTTAAATCATTTCTGTGACGGAATATCAATGATAATCCTTCAAACAGTATGGAATATATATATATATATATTGTTTTTTAAAAATATTTTTAAAATAAAAATTTGATTTTTGGTGCACCGAAGTTATGAGACTCTTACACCGAACACTGAATCAAACTTTTGAAAAAATAACACCGACACCAAATCGAATAATCGAAGAACCAAAACCGAAAAACCAAATTAATTCGATTTAATTTGATTTTTTTATTTTTCGATATATATGTCCACCCCTAATTTCAAATTGATGGGGCTCCGTATAGTAAAAACGACATTGCATCGTGTTTGTAGGCATGACATTGACTATTAGGGAATATTTGCAAAACAGGAAAAAAATTATACACACAAAATAAAGTCATGTTTGAAGATTGAAACATGTCTAGTTGGTTATCTTTTTTTAAAAAAATAATAAAAATGGGGTAGGAGAAGGGGAAATGTGGAGGAGTTTATAATGTGTGGAATCGAATCCTCACCAACAAGATGAGGATTCAGATAGCCAATCAACTGATCTACTAAAACTCTCCAATTTCAAATTTAGACCAAAGAATAAATCTTTCATTGGTTATGATCTATGAATTATGATGGTGGTATCTGAGAACATTTACCATTATCCCATTGCAACATATTTGTATGTAGTAGTTCCTCACGAAACTTTTAACGTTGCTACATCTAAAGACGTTGCCCGTAACTCTTATCAATTATTACATAGATTATTATTTTTAAGTTATCATATCAAATTCGTTATAAAAAGTTACAAATTGATGCATGTCAACTCCTAATAATATAAACCTTTTTTACACATTAACATATAATTTGCATGAACTCTTCATTTTCGATGTTGCATTCATATTGAATTCTCTAAAAATACACTACTTTCAGTTTGGAGAATCTAACATACGCTTACCGATAATTTTAAAAAAGTTCAAACAAGATTGATAAATTAGCATCAAATATACTTGATACTCATGCCATAAAAAATAAAAATAAAAAAGAGCTATATATGACTCAAAATTAGAAGAAAGAAAGAGACATTTTTATTTGAGTTTTTCGAAACAAACAAATTTATTCCTGAAACATAGTGCACATACATTAATGATTAATGTGGTCTAATAAGAGGACCACATTTTAGAATAAGATTGTAAGAAATGCAAACATCCACA